TCTAGCAGGACAAGCGCAGAGATGAGAACACTGTCAGAGAACATTAGAAGATCATTTGTAACCTTCACTAAAGCTGTTTCTGTGCTGTGATGAGCTCTGAAACCTGACTGAAACTCTTCAAATAAGCCATTCCTCTGCAGATGATCTGTTAGCTGTTAATGTTAACATTTAGATTAAAACAAAGCATCAGTTCTTGAGTGTAGAAGTGAACCAGGAGACAAAGAAGAACAGATCTACCTCTCATCTTTGATTTATTTTTCTTGTCTCTTATGATGATTTCTCCGTAAGTGACATCTTCAGTTCTCACTGCTGAGTAGACTGCGGCTGGATCACTCTCTGCACAATAAACACACAATAATACACACACAGAGGACATTACTGCAGATCACGCAGAGTTGCTGATATTGATATTGATACTGTAGAAAGATTTCTGAATCTTTTCATTTACTATTCATATTGTTATATCGGTCTAAAATAAATTAATATAAACGCTCCTTTACAGATAAATCCAGGATCAGGATGAGGCCCCTTTTTCAGGTTCATGGCCCACTTTTTTTTGTGATACACGATATAGGCTATCTGTCTTGATAGACTAAAAAAAATTATTCTACCTAACATCATGCACACTGCCCTGATACAATTTAAACATTTTCACATCTATTCTCTGCATGTTATTTTATTGTTATATTTATATTTACACATACATAGTTTAAATAACTTAACTCTGTTAAAACTATTTCCCACTTCATGGTTATTGGCATCAGCAGCATCAGATGGGCTTATCTGCTGCTTCAATGCTACAAAAACATTCCATTTAAGAATTATTTAATATTGCACAGATCATCCTGGAACCTATAAATTGTGTTTATTTTCATCTTAAAACTAAGGATTGTCGTGAATTATCGTCCACTTATTGGGTTCTAATAAGCTAATGACCGTGGTCATATTAATTTGTTTCATAACAAAGGTTGTGCTGACCTTATTGGCCATGCTGAAAATACAGAATTTGATCATAATAATAATCTCTTTATCAACTGCACCTGGGATCTGTCCTCTCGTAAACAGGTTAGTTAACACAGTATATTTTTCAGTATCTTCCTCCAATGTCTTTCTTTTTTTTGAGCTTAGCCTTTTCAATTCCTCGTGGCCTCGTGCTGCCCTCTATAATCACAGACTGATGCTTAACAGCGTTCCTGTCACATGCTTCACCAAGTTTGATCTCATACCCTCTGGCGGACAGAAGCTCAGAGATATACAGATATATGTATGATATATGGAGATGTTGAACAGTTTGAAAATACAACACGTTGGAAAAAAAACCCATTGCAAAACGTTCCATGGTCCATGGTCGGAATTCACATTTGTGTCTGTGTGTGCCTGTTTGTCTGTGTCTATATGTCAGGTCGAGTATCAGACGCCACCTCTCTGGGAACATCTCAGGCCCTCCAAAGTATGGAGGTCTATCTCCCACCACCACACTCCCTGCCGGTGGCTGATGCCCTCAGCCGTCGGTGCATTGGTGGTTGTTGGTGTCTGGGGCTGGGAGTTCAGGTATGTACCGGCTCACTCCCGGTGGCTGCTTGGCAGGGCCTGGTGCCCGTGGCTCGGTCGGGCCTCTTTCCAAGCAAAAGCTTGCAAAAGCTTGGCAGGGACTCTCAACCATTTTTTTCCTACTCAAACCTTTCTTCTGTTCCAAAAAGTTGATTCTGTTCATCTGGTTAGTGGGAGAAAAGCTACGTCAAGATGAACAGAATCAACTTTTGGGGATTTCCTCACCATGATGATTGAGCATGCATCAAGACCTTGTCTCCTGTTTTGTGGCCAGCCAGGGAGCATAAGCATTTTACTTTTTTGGTTTCACTTTATTGTTCACTGTTTCCTTTTCTGCTGGTTGTTTTGGCAGTGTAGAAGAATAGTTGTACAACTTGAGCTGTTGCACCACTTTTGCCACAGGGGTCATAACCTCCAGTTTAGATTTTTTTTCTCATCCTATATCAGCATTTATGTGATGGTAGTTTATGAGTAGTAACAGCTATCATTCAAATGAATATTGCAGCAACTTTCCATACCATAAAATCGCAGTGGTATGCGACGCAATCAGTGCTAAGTGTATACTGGTGCCTTAATTCTACCTGTCTAAGAAAGACCAGAGCTGTTGAATGAAATTCACATCATGTCTTCATTTCTATGGACCTTTTTGTTAAGAGCAGTGGCAGATTGGAACCTCTCAATAGTTCCAGATGTTAGCAACATACGCTCGCAGGACATCCCATTTAACAACTCTGGGTAACAATAACTGTTCAGACAAATCCATTTATACCTTAATAATTGACAAAATTGAAAGTCTGTCACTTAATTTAAATTTGGATTGAAGCACTGCAAGATATATTTGTAGTCTCCATGTATCATGTGACAGCTCCAATTCTGAAGCCCTGCTGATGTGACTTCGGCTCTGAGAATATCTAAATATCTTTATATATTTAGTAGTTTGTTAGAATCTGAATTGTTTCTGCTTGCAAATAATTCCGTACACTATTGTCTCATCCAAATATACTTCTAGCTAAAAAAAAAAAAGAAACAAAAAAAAAAGACAATATGGTATGCTTGCATCCCATAATCTTGGGTCCTAACTCTCTACAAACACTGAAACATAAAAATGTCCAGTGTTCTCAACACTTTATAAATACCACAATCATGCAACCCCACCCCCAACCAGCAAAAGACAATATTACCTCTTTGTCTGGCTGGCTGTAGTTGGCGAGTTGATATTTTGATGTCACTGTACATGATGTCATCTGTGATGTCTTCTCCATTTTCCTTTAGATCTGCTGAAATGAACCAATAATGTTTAAGAAAGTTGTTTCCCTCTACCATAGAGAATAAATACTAACACTAATGCTAATGTGATCATAATGAGTGTATACTTTACTTTATTCTACAAAACAAACCTGGACACGTATAGTCTAACAGTCTGAGTCTCACCTTCAGGTTTCCTATGAACAAGTCGTCTAATCAGCAGAACCAGTATCACCAGAAGAACCAAAACACAGACTGAAGCAGCAATCAACACAGGGAGGATGACAGGGACATGTGACACGTGTTTATCATCAGGAGGAGATGTGGATGTAGGTGGAGGTGTGGTGGTGTTTTTCTCTATAATAAAGCAAACACAGTCATTAAGTTGTCGTCACATTGTGAATGTTGAAACCTTCACAAACACAGACAGGTGAGTGTGTCACCTGTGACAGTGATCCAGCTGGATGGAGACTCTCCAGGACCGCTGATGTCACACTTGTAGAGGCCTTCATCAGACCTGGAAACATGCTGGATGGTCATGTGACCTGTAGGCTGCTTCCTGATGAGGGAGCCATCTTTATAGAAAGCAGCTGGGAGGTTGGAGGGAGTGGTCTTTGTTTTACAGAGCAGAGTGACGTCATCTCCCTCCATCACAGGGAGGACAGGACTCTGCAGGATCACTGATCCACCTCAACACAGAGACAAACTACAGCATTTCATCCATTTACACACAGCTTCATCAACACTAACTCCACACACTCAGCTTACCAGTGACTGTCAGGTTAACCATGTTACTGATGGGACCCTCTCTGGACTCACACCAGTAAACTCCACTGTCCAGTGGGTCAATGTAACTGATTTTACAGGAAGAACCAGATGGATTTCCAAATCCAGCTCCACACTTTGCTCTGGTGTCTGTTGTTGTGTTTCTCCTCAGAGTCCATCCAGCAGAGCTGTCGTCCTCCTCACAGCTCAGAGTCACAAAGTCTTCTTCAAAGAACTGAGAGCTGCTGGGACTCACAGTCAGACGAGCTGTGAGGGTTAAAATGAAATGTTAAATGAAAAACTGACGATCTGTTTACTTTACACTCTGAAACATGAACCCAAACACGTCATATCAGTGAGCACTTATCAGGTTTAAACTGTGACAGAAGAAGGTTACTGACCTTGGTTTGTTGTGCAGCTCAGCAGTGAGATCACAACTAAAGAGAAATGACACTCAGGTTAGTTTGAGGTGAACACAAAGAACAACTCCACACAATCAGCTGACAAATCTGCTTCTCTGTTGTTTTTCAATCTGATGTAAGCAACATCTTTCAATAACATTTGGGCAACAAACACAGTAATCAGAGCTATACTAACAAATATATAAATATCCAGACAATTTGGATTCTTCAATCCCCTCTGTCTCAGTTTTTATTTGGGAAACAGCTCTTGAGGTTATTGTTGTGATTATATAAATACACTATGAGAAAATACAAAATATCTACTACTTTGAAATAACACAATAGACTAATGTGTCCATTGTGTTGATATAATGAGTGAATGATTTGATCTTTTCACTGCCTGCTGTGTTTCCTCGACTCCTGAGCAAAGATAAAGAGTCAGTTCAGACCTGCAGTTGGTCCTCGTGGTGTTTTGAACTTGAATTCAGCCTGATTTGTTTTTCATGTCTTCTCCTCCATCATCAGTTATCAGGAGAGCAGACAGTCAAAGTACAAGAATTCAAATAAACACAGAGATTCTACTTACAGAGCAGACACAGCACAGATGTTTCCTTCATCGTCCTTCTCACTCATTTGAGCTTTTTTCATTTCTGTCACTGACACGAATTAAAGCCCGCCCTCTTCCTCTGAACACCAGCTTTTCTACTGGTTTAAACGTAGAATTGGGGGACTCTGTTTTTGTTTTTGAGTAAAATGATAAAACTATTTTTAAAAAATATAACTAGAAGAACATTACAAGATCTTTTGTCTTAAAAAGTTGAAGCTGTAATGCCCACAGACATTTGCCTGTTCACTAAAAAGACATTTGAAAAACTCAATATCTTTTGATGCTAGTGATCTGTAGTTTGGTTGATGAACAAATCCATGTCCATGTAGCGGACATCCCCCTGAGTGAGAGAGGCAGATATGAGCTGAAACACAGGAATCAAACCAGGGACGCTGCTGTTATGGAGCTGAACTGGAACCATTCAGACACTGAGGCCCTCTGAACACATTTTAATTACAGCTGTGCAGAGACACACTGATGACTGACTGGAACACTATGACTCACATTTTACATTAACACCATCCTCACACATGGTTTATATATGACCACTAGAGGGAGACATTGCACTTTACATACTAACATGGATGCCAGCTAATTAGCAATGCTGTTCCCCCCTTTATTATGCAGACTTACACAGAGCATCATGTGTCCCAATTTCTTGAGTGGATAATAATATTAGTCTTAACACTTAACTTGTGTTTCCAATTATTCAAAAGCTGACCAACAACTCAAATAGAGTTAATTCCGAGCTGAGCAGCAAATCCATCAGGATTATCTAGCTGAGGTCCACCAAGCTCCACCACTCAGTGAAAACACTTGTGGAGCTGTCTGATTAGGTAGTCCTCCCCCAGATTGGACAATCCAGCAAGCGGTTCAGGGAATCAGCCTGGTGTTGCCTTCCCTTTCTCAGCAGAGACCACATGGAAAAAAAACACAAGATCTGAGGGTCCTGTAAGCAGCCTCTGGACTAACTGAAAACGAAAAGCAGCACCTCTACTGGCTAAATGGACCAGGCCTTGTCCACCTTCCTCGCTAGAGAGAAAAAGGACACTTTGAGGAATCCAGTGCAACTTGTCCCAAACAAAATCCACATATGAATATATGCGATCCAATCTTGCCAAAGACAAGTGATTGTCCTTAGATTGACTCCAAGCGTGCTGTCTATGATTGCTGTTGGAATCCCCTTCAGACATCTAACAGGTCCACAGCTGCAGTCAGCTATTTGAGCCTGCAAGTAATGGGTTTTGGGTGCAAGGGAAAATCTCCACATAAAAACAAATACTCATCATTGAGTATCGGTGCAGCGTCTGCATTACTGCAGCTGCAGCCCCAATCCGTCTGTCAATCTCCGGCTCCCTTCTCCCATCACTCGCGAACAAGACCCCGAGATACTTGAACTCCTCCACTTGGGGCAGGAACTCATCCCCGACCCGGAGTGGGCACTCCACCCTTTTCCGGCTGAGAACCATGGCCTCAGATTTGGAGGTGCTGATCCTCATTCCCGCTGCTTCACACTCGACTGCGAACCGTTCCAGTGCGAGCTGGAGGCCCTCACCTGATGAAGCCAACAGAACCACATCATCCGCAAAAAGCAGAGATGAGATTCTGAGGCCACCAAAGTGAAAGCCCTCCGCCACTTGGCTGCACCTAGAAATCCTGTCTATAAAAATTACATTTTCATATTTGGGTTTAACTTTCAATAAATGCTTTGCATGAAAGAGGAAAAAAATCTTAGAGATCCCCACCCCTCCACTAAAGCTCTACTTGTGACTAAAAATGACCTGAAGCCTACAGTTCTTCCTCCAGTCACTCTCACTGTTTCTTGAACTGACATTATATCTAACTCCTTTAAATACACAAGCTTGAAAAAAGCAGCTCTTTTCTTTTCTCTAGCATTGGTTCAATTTAAAGTGCCTATTTCAAATTCACACATAAACAAGGAGAGATTGAGAAAAAAAAACAGGGACATACATCTCTTGATCTGTTAACACACCACCAATAAAATTTCCAGATTTTTTTTTGTCAAAACTGCTTCAGGTCTGAAAAGTAGTCCTCCATTTTTACCAGCCTGAGGCCTTTGTCGTCTGTAAGAACCTTCTGATTTCAGCTGCAGAGTACAGATTTTGCTGTTCCTGGTTCAGAGACAAATCACCTTGAGATGCCATACTGCTCACTCCTGCTTTGTTTCCTCTCTTAGCTTTCAAAGTTTTAGTACTGCTGTGTTAGTATGGCAGGTTCAGCTTCTTCTGGGACAATTTCAATAAATCTTCATCAAACATATTGTCATTCTCACAAAGATCCTCACACACCGATTCATGAGTTGTTTGATTTTTCTGATTTATGTCAAAAACAACTGAAGACTGGTCATTATTCATATCAGTCTCTATGATGTCAGTGCTCCTCTGATTGTCTGCCTTAGCAATATCGGGATTGCCGTGGCCTTGGCAGGCTCTGCAGGGGTGATCTATGTTTCCACACCAGGTGCCTTGGGTGGCACACACCCTTTAACTGCATCATCCACTGGCAGTGTGTTTCTTAGCCTTTCTGGACAGAATGAAATAAAATGCAACCACAACCATTTAAGGGGAGCACTCTGTATCTGAGGTCGTTCCCAGTAATGTCTGAACTGGGACTGTGTGTGATGCAGAGAGGTGGAGACTGGAGGTCTTGATTGAACTACAAAGCTTGTAATCATGTTTCCTGTTGTTTGACCTGTGTGTGCTTGTGTTCAGACTTTAAACCAGAGCCAGATGTTGTCTACTCTTCACTAAAGTAGTCCACCAGTCCAACCACTGACGTCCACCTGCTCACCTTTGGTCTCCCACCTCAGAGCAGAGTACATCCACGTAATAATAAAGATTTCTCTACGTGTTTTCTCTCTTAATTGCAATGATATAACCCCCAAATTATACCTTTTCTTATTGGAAATTTTTAATGTGTATTGTGTAAATATAAGTAATCCACATACACTTAACAGAATCTAATAAAAACACTTTGCAGTTTTTTCTGTTCCTTATTAATGTCACTGTTTTGTTTCCTCATCTGGTTCTGTAGCTTTCACAAAGGTGTCAGATGGAAAATTTTATTATTTTTTTTTAATTTAGGAAACCATTATATTTTTCTTCATTGCTCCTCTGCCTGGGAAATAAACAGTACCGCTTGAAATACCATTGAGTCATATGTAAAGACTGCTGCCATCTACTGGTAAAACTGGGAGTTACAGACAGCTTTTTAAAAGAAAACGGCTTTACCTCTAAATATCCAGCAGGTCCCCAGTTAGAGGTAGAACTGGCAAGAAAATAAATATGTTGCAGAATGTGATAACTTGTTGAATAAAATTTGGGTGTGAAGGTGTAGAAATGTGTAGTTTGATATTTACACAAATATACTGAGAAGAGCAAACTTCTCTCTGTCTATCTTTTGCTGCTTACAGCCACAGCTCTGTATGAAAGAGTATTAGGGCCACATTAAAAAAATGTTACTGATCATTTTGAGAATAAAGTCGAAATTTCAGGCTTAAAGTAAAAACTAAAAAAGCCAAAATACTTTTTTTTTTTTTTAGAAAAAGCTCTTTTTTAAATGCATATAGACACTAAGGGTTTTTGGGAGGAGCCGGGCTGCTCTCTGAGAGGAAGCAGGAACCATGCTCTCCTGTGTTTTAAATGCACTTTAGAACAGCACACAGCAACACCACATATGAGCGGGCGTAGGGAGGTTTGGGGTGTTCACTCACCCCGGTTCTGTTAGCCGTCAGGGCTGGGGGGCTGGGAGGAGGTGCTGGCCGTCAGATTGCGGTCTGGAATGCGGGGCCTCCCTGCTACTGCAGATAAGGAGGCGGCCCGCTTGCCTCCACCCCAGAGAGAAGGGTTACATCTCCTGGGTCTAGGTGCGGCTTGTCCCGGGGGTACCTGGACCTGGGATATAGAGTATGTTTGGGGAGTGCGACTGTCTGTGCAGTATCTATTTGTGTCTGTCTACATGTTGGGTGAGTGCCGAGTATTTGGTTGTGTATATGGGGAGGGGAATGCACGTTTGTGTCCGCGTGCGCCTGTTCGTCTGTGTCTATATGTCAGGTTGGGTCTTAGACTCAACCTCTCTGG